ATTAAAAAGTCATTTTAATACCTCTCTGCTGGACAGAGGGCAGAATGCCCTTCTTGCTGTTGTAAATAGCAAAAAAGAGGGCCAGGGAATGGTGTTATAGTTTATATCTACACATCCCTCCAGAGCCTCCTGCACTCGTGGGCGGAGCTTTGGAAGAGGACGGGACCTCAGCTCTGCTCCAGCAGACCTGCTGATGAGAGGTGGGGGCCCGGTCTCAGTGGGCGTGGCCTGGAAAGGTGCATCTTCCTCCCTGGCTCTTCCCTTTACTCTTGGCTTCCTTCCTGCCATGATGTGAGCAGCTTTCCTCCGCCATGCCCCTCTGCTGTGGTGTCCTGCCTCGGAGCCAGCAGACCAGGGAATAAAAATGTGAGCCAAAATAAACCTCTCCTCCTGGCGCTGTAGGGGTCAGGTGTTTTGTCCTGGTGATGAGGGTAGGGGCTGAAACAGGTGGGGTGGGGAAGAAGTTATCAGCGGAAGATGCTTTGATTTCATGGTGTTCAACAGCTCCTTTGTGCAGACTCCAGAGCTTCACCCCACACCCGTCCTCAGGACAAAGCTCCAGGAAAAACTGGTTACTTCCTATTCAGACCATTAGAGAGCTGTCTCATTTGCACTCAGTAAGGATCTCCAACCATTGAAGTTTTACTTCTAAATGTGCCTAGGTGTGTACACCTCTTTAAATCTTTCTCCAAATGGAATCCACTCTTTTCATACAAGTATACTTTATGCCTTTTGGCTTCAACAGACGGTTTTATATAAAAAGACTTCATTGCCGAGAACAGCCTGCTTCTCTGTGTTCTCATTATCTTTGCCTAAAAGAAAACTCTCCTGCCACATAAGGCCTCACCCAGGAACCATCTTTTGCCTGGGGAATTTCAAGGAGGAGGAGCAGGGGAGGCAGCTAGATTAGAGGGGCCAGTGTGCCTACATCTTCATTCCTCCGTCTCATTTGGTGTCACAGAGGAGAAAACACTGGGGCCCAGTCCTTGGTGTTCTGTCTGTTCACAGCTGGATATGTGACTGTGTCCTAGGTTTGTGCAGTCCATAGCCTCCGCAGCCGTATCAGTGGCCCTACAGGTAAGAATTTGATTTTAGGGGCCTGGGTCACTTTTTGTTTTCTTATTTATTTTACTGGAGGGAAATTTTGAAGCAAGACAAGATGCCACGGGGAAATAAAGGCACATAGTCTCCTCTCTCTGGTACACGAGGTACGTGTTATGGTCTCAACCCCCGCCCCAAGAGACTTGAAACCGTGCAGGGTCTGGTGGGAGCAGGTGTCTGGGCCAAGGCAGTTTCAGCATCTGAAACAGGATTGGTTTCTAAAAGGGCTAAACTAGACAAAGCTGACTATTGGACCCTCCTCGGGCTCTTTGGCACGACCCCACACTTCCAGAAGGGTGACCCAGGCCCTGAGCAGGGAGCAGGAGTCCTGGGTTAGGGTTAGGGTTGTGTGGAGCCCTGCACAGCAGCAGGGAGGGAGGAGGTGGCCAGGCACCGTGCAGCTCTCCTGGAATCGTGGGAGAACCCTCTTGGCACTGCCTCCGAGCAAAGTGATAAGTGGGTAAAGTTCTGCTAAAAATACACGCCTTCCCCTCCTTCCTTCTCTTCTGGGAATATGTTCCAGGCCTCGATAATTGAACCTTCAAAGAAAACCCACAATCATTTGGACCTCTCTGCACTTCATCCTCAGAGAAAACCGTTGACACTGAGGACCCTGGCGTGGCGTGACAGGAAAAGTCACAAGCTCCGCATGGCCAGGGTCATCAGCAAGAGCCATCCCCGGGCCACACAGGGGCGGAGATGAGAGGAGACGTTGTGTTTTATTTTGTTGTTCCTTCCAAAGATTCCCCCAGAGCCCACAGCTTGCTCCCCGGCCAGTGGGATCCTCCACGGGCAGGCCCACCTCCCTCTGGCTTGGCTGCCTCCTTCTCTCTCTGACAGCAAGGCCTCCACTGCCAGCATTTCCAGCAGAAAGAGCTGGCTGTAAGAGGGAGGAGGGCAAGGAGGGCCCCTCGGAGCTTGCCCACTGAGACCTAGAGAACGGGGCTGACCAGCTGACACACAGCAGACGACCATAGGCCCCTGGGTTGCACAGGTCAGGCAAAGGTTCAAGGCCCAGTGAGGATGCCCAGCCCTTCCTTGCCACTGGAGGACAGAAACATGGTGGTCAGTATGGCCATAAATGTCCCATTCCACAACGAAGCGCATCTCCAGACCCCTTATCTATGCTGAGGTCCATGGTCCTTTCCCAGGCCATGAGCACCAGCCTGCTGGCGGACCCTCGCTCTGTCCTGCCTCTTCCATCCAGTTTCCCACACCACTTTGCAAAGTGCAATTTATAGTCTGTGAACTTGCCCTGGGCTGTCAGACAAAACACTTTCAAATAAAGTAACAGACTCTTTATTATCTCAAGTCACCTTCCAAGGCATGTTTTGGTGTCAGCTTAAGCGTTGGAGAAACTGTGATAGCACGCTAATTTACTAAGTGCGCTGCACCAAAGAGGTGTGCCAGCCACGTCAGTATAGGCCACAGGGATTTTCCTGTTTTTGTTTTTAAGGGGTTTTCTTTTCAGTCCTGGGAATTAAACCCAGGGCCTTTGCACTACGCTACATCCCCAGCCCTTTTTACTTTTTTTATTCTGAGACAGGATCTCACTAAGTCACTAAGTTGCCCAGATTGGGCTCCAATTTGCAATCATCATGCCTCGCCTCCCAAAGTGCTAGGATTACAGGCACGTGCCACCACGCTTGGCTCCTCCTAAGGAAGAATGTTCATCCTCTGTTTCTGGGTCCCCAACACAGAGCAGGTCCAACTGAAAGGGACTTACTCCATTCTTACCGCCACCCAACTCGTAGTCAAGTCCCGCAGGCACTACAAGGAGGAATTACACAAATGCCTACACCAAGAGGACACAGAAGAAGAGGGGGAAAGAGGGAGACACTAAGAGAGGGAGGTGGAGCCAGAATATTGTAAATAGAAAAGAAAGCCATGGCTCCAAGAGGAACCAACTTCAGAGAGGCAGCAGAAAATAAGATGTTTCTGCCATCTAAATGTTGCATGAGGCTGGGAAAATATAAAAGAACAAGGGGAGGAGCTGCAGCTAATCAAAAAGATGCAGGTGCAAACGGGACGTGTCCAAATTGCACCCAGGCCGGAAGCACAGCCTGCTGCAGGTGAGGACTGGGGAGAGGCAGGCTCCCTGGGAGAAGCATCTGCGTGGAAGGGAGAAAGTTTCCCCTTCACTTGTTTAAAAATAAAAAATTCCTCACTGCATGTCAGCTGCGTGTCAGGTTCCATTTGTCTTTGTAACAGAGTATCGAACAGGAGCGAGGAAATAAATAAACACAGAGAGACAACCGACCGAAGATTGCAGGCACACGGATGGGCTGGAGGAGGTGAGCCCCACGCCACAGACACTAAAATACATCTCAATTTCGCACGCAGCATGGTCGCTCTGTGCCCACGGTCATGTTCTTCTCCCCTCGCTGCCCCGCTACCCCCAGCACCTCTGGGTAGGATGGGAGCACCATTGTGCACGCTGTCCCTCCTAATCCCACAAGCATGACTCAGACAACGCTCTGCCATTGATGGGAGAGGAGTAAATCAACCAAGATGCTGCGCTTAGGAGCAAGGTACCTGCAACTTCCACAGTCAGAGCAAAGGGACCTTGGGCAGGTGGGAGGGAAAGCAAAGGAGGCTGCAGGGGAGAGGCAACACCAGGCTGAACCAGCGTGGCGAAGCTCAAGATCAGAGCTGGGGGTAACATTTTCTCTGACCACTCGCATGCCCAGTTCATCCCTAGATACCAGGAGCTCCATTTCTCTCTCCATTTCACCTAGTTCAGGGATGAGAAGCGGCAGGAGCAGGACAAGGCCTGCTCCCTCAGTGCTAGGAGGTACCTCCTCGCTGTAATTACCTCTTTGCTGGCCCTGGGCTGCCTGGCTCTGCATGTGCCTGGAAAGCCCTCCCCTTCCCCTACCAAGGCCAGGGCTTAGGTCTGTGTCGCCAGCCCTTGGCCCTGTCCTTGGTGCTGGCCGGCTGCGTGCCACATGGCAGGGCCATCTTCTTCCAGCCAGGCCTCAGGAAGGGAAGGGAATACACCCGCCCGCTGCGGCTCTGTCCTAGGTCTTCGGAAACAGAGCATTAGCGCCTAGGGGGAGCAGTGTCAGGGCCTGACCCTAAGGGAACTTTCCTGGACTCTGGGCTTCTGCTGAGGCCACCGAGGTCGTGGGTGGATACAGGTCTTTCCCACTCCCAGGGCCCTGGGGAAGGTGGATCAGAGCAATCGTCTATGCTGGGGCTGGGGGTCCTGTTAGAAACGGGGGAATTCGGGCCAGAAAACCATAACAGCTCCAGCCCATAGCCCACAGCCACTGGCAAGCCCTCCCCTGGCACGAAGCTGCCGGCCACGCCGGGCTGTCTCGGCCTTTTTGCCTCTGTTCCTTAACCTCTTTGAGGTTCCCCACCTCACCCTCCCAGGGACAGCCCAGCATTCCCAGAATCTCCTGGCCGGGAAATGAGGGGTTAAGCATCGCTTCCAGGAGTGCGTGGTGAGCCCGGCGCCCGCCCACGCAGGGAGGCCTCCAGTCCCCGGGGAGGGGCGGGGTGGCGCCTCCGTTCACCTTGCTTGCATCCGCTGAAGGGAGCTCCTGGCCCGCAGGGGGCGAGGGCGGGGGCGGGCCCTAAGAAGGCGCCCCTCGGCCCCTAGGCCTTCCACAGGCCCCCTCCCCCCAGCCCCCAGCTCTCATCAGCCCGCGCCTTCTCTACAACTTTCTCCCCTCACCCTTCACAATTTTCGCTCACCTGGAGGGTCTGGTTTTAATTAGTGTAATATCCCCGTTAACAACGCAGCCTAATTAAGACATCCGCCCCGAGTCCGCGATTCACACTTAATGAGCACGCTCTGCCGCAATGTTTACACTCTTTTTTTCATTATTTTTTGCAGACTAGTAAAACCAAAGCCAGCTTCTGGCTAAAAGACTTCATTACAGACGACCCCACTCCATGAGCCCCGTACCTGCTCCATGCTAAGTGCCCTGGGCTCCCCAGCCAAGTCGGCGTTAGAGGCAGGAAATTAACGACCCGGCGAGCACGAGCGAGAGAAGCGACTTCATCTCCAGCTGCGGAAGGAGGGGACTCTCCCAGGGACGGATCCCTCCGCCCCAGCCCTCGGCCTGCACCGCCCGGTATCTCGTGCCTCCGGACTAGCGGCCCCCCGAGTCCTTTTAAAAGGGACCATTAAATAAGAGTCCCTCCCGAAAGCAGGAGCAGAAGTGGGCAGCTCGGTCATCCAGGAGTTTCGACCCACCTCGCTGGCCCCCAGCCCAGCCCAGCCCAGCCCAGCCAGCGGACTCCAGGAACATCCCGCCCACACTCCCCGTGAGACCCTGGGTTCCCGGGCCCCTCAGGACGCTGGTCGCCGCGTCTCAAGTCCTCGCACGGCCTGGGTGCGGGCCCCGGTTGGCCAGGCGCTGCGGGGCCGCGCGCCAGGGGAGGCTCCGCGCCTCGGTGTAAGGGGTGAGGCTGCGAACCAGAGCCCCGCACGACTGCCGGCCTCGCGTGCCCCGAGACACCGCAGGAGACCCCCGGCCAAAGGGCAAGCCTCGCCGCTTTCCCAGGCATCGGGGCAGAAAGTTTGGGCCAGGGGCGTGCCAGGCCCCCTGGCGTGGCTTCCCAGCTGGGGTGCACCTGCTCGGGAGGCGGTCGAGGCTCGGGGAAGGCAGCCTGGGCGCGTGCCGGAGTCTGGCTCAGCCGCTCTCCAGACTCAGCGGCCGGGAGCGCTCCCCCCCCCGCCCCCTGGAGGGCCCCGCGCGAGCCCGCCCCCGCCGCTCTGTCCCCGCGCACTCCGCGGCGCCAAGGCCCTGGTCCTCCTTAGGGACCCGAGGAGCCCCTTTCTTCCCACAGCTCCTTAGGGTCATCCACCTTTCCGGCGACTCTCCCAAAGGATCACCCAGTCAGGACTCCCTCGGGCCTGCGTGCAGCCTGGGCCGTCTCCCCGGACTCGACCCGCGGGCCGGGATCTCCGTGCGCCTCGGCCTCCCCCGCCGGGGAGTTCCCCGAGCCGGGCATTGTGCCGCTGCCGCTGCCGACACGGTCACGCAGCGCGCGGGACTCCCCGGTGTCTCCATAGAGCCTGACCCGGGCCTTCCCATTCACAAAATCGCCTCCTGGTCCCCTGCGGGCACACGCGCCCCGACCCTGCGCGGGGACCTCTGACCCCAAGGGCACCACCCCTCCCAGCGCGACCTCTGGTCGGTGCGGGTCGCGGGTCGCGGGTCCCTGGCCAGGCTCTGCAGCCCCGCCTCCCGCTGCGGGGTCCGGTGCGCCCCTCCTCGAGCGCTGCTCCCACCCCCAGCCCAAGCGTGGCAATGGTGCTGACAGCCGCAGGGCGAGGCGTGCGGCAGAGTCGAGCTACTCACGGGCTCAACGTTCCCCGCAGCAGGTGATGGGGTCCCGGCGGCCATGCCCCGGCTTCATCCCGGCCACACCAGCGAGCCGGCGGCGAGGGGCGCGAGAGGCCGGGCTGGGGCGGCGGCAGCGGCGTCTCCAACGACCACGCGAGCTGCCGGGGGCCGCGCCGCGCCGCTGTCCTGGGAGGCTCCGCGCTACCGCCGTTGCTCCTCCGCTCTTCTCCTTTCCGCTCCTCCTCTCCTCGCCTCGCCTCTCTCGCGCTCCCCCCCCCCACCCTCGCTCTCTCGTTCCTCTGGCTGGCTCGGCTGGAGCGAGAAGGCGGCAGCAGCACGCGGCGGCTCAGGCGGAGCGCGCAGCGCGTGCTGGAGGAGGGAGGGGGCACGGGTGGTGGGGAGGCCGGGGGTGGGGGAGGGCTCCCGGCGGGCTGAGTGGGGACGCACTCTGGCGGCCGGCCGCAGAGTCAGCCCAGTGGAGCAGGGGGCATAAAGTGATGGGCGACGCACAGGGCGCCCCAGAGCCCAGTGCCGGCCCTGGTCCCCTCAAGCACCGCCCAGGTTGCCGCCTCTCCTCCCTGCCCCACTCAGATGGATCGCGGTGAGACCCGCCCAGGCAGCCCGTAACAGTGCCCCCCCCCGTCCCCCAGTACACTCCTGCCTCTATTTCTGAGACTTGCCAGAGATGCCCCAAAATGCGACTTGGTCATAGAGCCACAAGGATGGACATCCCCTCCCCAGCTGCTCTTCATGGCCGCCTCTTTCACTACCCACAGCCCTCTCCCACCTCAGGACCTTTAATAGTGTCTTCCTGCCCTCAGAATGGAGTAATCCCGCCGACTCCAAACCCAGCCATAGTGGTTGTCCAGATTGGCCAATCGGACCACCTTCAACATTTCCACCCAGGTCAGTTTAGGATTTGCCTAAAATGGGGGGAGTCGGGACATCCTGTCTCAACCCACGGTAAGGGGACCTGCTATGCATCTCTAGACTTGGGATTGGGGACCAGAGACTGGGAAGTAGCTGGATCCTCTGGGCTGGCAGGATGAGACCCAGGAAGGGCAAGTGGCTCAGGCCTTGGCATTCGACACCAGAGGTAGACAAGGGGCCTGGATGTCCCCAGGACGACCCAAATGGGTTTAAACAGGCCCCAGACACTTCTAAAACTAGAGACAATGGTGCCAGTCCTGTTCAGGGGAACTGGGCAGCATCCCTCAAGGACCTTTCCCATCTCAAAACAAACCAATGAAAAAGCTGTCCCCAGGTTGCCTTGACTCCTGGGCGCTACTTCTAGAACAATCAGATGCCTCCTTGCACCTGACCGTACTGCTTTACTGTGCGAGGCAGAAAGAGAATTAGGGGGAGCCTGAAAGGTCTGGAGCCATAAGGAGAGGGGTGTGTGGTCCTGTGCTGGGGCTCGGGCTCGGGCTTGGGCTCGGGCTCGAGCTGGTGGCTGCCTTCCCTGCAGAGCAAGGAGAGACAGAGCCCAAGACAAGTGGCTGCTGCCCACTCACGAGGTTAATGCTTTTAATTTCTGGCCCTTCGGCCTATCTGGGCCATTGATCTGTCTTGACCGGTGGGAATCATGCTCTACAATTCCAAGTCAGCTGCTGGGCCCTGCAGCTAAACACCAGATAAATGCCTTGTCTTCGAGGGAAGCAGCTGCTTGGTTGAGTGAACTTTCCCCAGCCCCAGATTGGAAATGGCACATTCCCTACTCAAAAGACCTAATTGGCTCTCTCTGTCCTCTGCTGTCAGATGGCCCAGGCTTTTGCGGCCTATGACTGGTGGCTGGGCCCACCCACACCCCATCACTCACCTGTCTATGGCCTCTCTGTGCTGCAGTGTCCTTGTCCCCCTCGTCCACGTTCTTCCTGCCTGGGAGTCCTTCCTATCTGGCAGGTCCCCTTGTTCTCCAGAATCTCCTCCCAGAAGCCTCCCAAAGAGTGAGGTCTCCAGCTACCCACACAGCTGCAACTGCTAGGAAGTGGCAGGGCATATGTCCCTGGTACCGCTGTGAGCAGGTGCAAGAGTGGAGAACTGTGACTTGCAAGTCCCCATCATCACTCCTCCAGGTCATTCTGGAAATGCTTTAAAAACAACACCAAACTCCACCCATCCCATCCCAGAGCTGGGCATGCAGTCAGCCCGTGCAGACGGCCAGACAGGAATTGTAGTTGGTGCCTGCAGAAAAACAGCTGTAGCACCTGCCTGCCCGGGTGCCCCTTGGGGACAGACCCCAGGGTGCTTGCCCTTCAGTCCCAGCTGCTGTCCACAGGAGTCTGCCCAGAGAAGGGTGTCAGGTCCAGTCCGTGCATCCTCACACTGGGGCCAACCAGGGAGCCTTCCCCTGGGGGTACCACCTCTAATTTGGAAACTTTATTTTTAAAGACGCTAGCGTGTGGGGCAGAACTGGGAATAGTCCTTTGCAGTAACGTTTAGAAAAGAAACAAAGGGAGGTTTGGTCAGGCTGACAACTCAGCACACAGACCACTTTGCTCTCTGTGAAAACCTCCTAAAACTACAAAAAGAGATTTTTTTTTTTAAAGGTGAAAATCCCCAGGTACTGGAGAGCAGAAGAAAGGCAACAGTAATCAGCTGTAGGCTTCAGAAAAGTCAAGGCAGGAGGGCACAGCCCATGGAAATGGCAAGCAAAAACTTCGAAGGCTCAGAACCAGCAGTCCAGGTACCTGTACAAGGGGCCCCAGAACCCTAGAGAGGACTAGATGGTCCTGCAGGCTTTTTCTGGGGCCCCAAAACAAGGAGAGAAGGGCATCCTGAAAGAGAAACCTCTCCCTGCCCCACAGCACCGACACTCTGACCTTCACCCTCTGTGTCAGCATCCAGGGGAGTCTTCCAGAGGAAACTGACGCTCACCAAGAGGAAATGTAAAGAGACAGCTTTGCCATTCCTCAGCCAAGACCCCAGTCAGTCTCTCCAGAGGGAAGCCCCAGCACAAGCCCACCCAGCCCCAAGCTGCCTCCCTCGAGCTCATTTGAGCCCTTCAGACAACCCTGAAGAGAAAACCCAACAAGACAACCACCAGGGTAGGGGCAGGTGAGGGGGGATCTTTGAAGAAACAGACTTAGGCAAGGAGGAGAAAATATCAGAAATAGCCGTATTTAATATCCTCGAAGAGATCAGAGGAGATATTGCATCCCAGAACCAAGAGCAGGATGCTATTTTAAGGAGAACATTTAGAGAACAAAAAGGGCTGGGAAATTAAAAGCATGAGAGCCGAAACAAAAAAAAAAAAACTCAACAGACTGGTTGGAAGATAAAAGTAAGCAAAAAAAAAAAAAACTCAACAGACTGGTTGGAAGATAAAAGTAAGCGAATGTCCCAGAAGGCACAGCAAAAAGACAAAGAGGAAAAAAGAAAGAAAGGAGGAAAAATTAGATGCCACATTCAAACTACACAAAAGAATCCTGGGGCGGCGGGCTGGGGGGTGAATGAGAATCACAAACTATTTAATTCAAGAAATGTTCCCAGAAATGAGAATGAGTTTTCAAATTCTACACACAATGGATGGAAATTGACCCACATCAAGGCATATTATAATAGAAAATAGAGAAAGTTCCCTCAGGTTTCCAAGCACTATGAAAAAGAGCAAGGGTGAGAGTGACTCCTGAATTTTCAACAGCAACAGCAGGGCAAGCTAACAAACAACACAGTATGCCTTCAAAACGCCAACAGATAGTGATTTCTGGCCTAGAATCTTTTACTTAATCAAAACGACAATAAAATGTGAATTAAAATAAAGACGTTTGAATAGGCAAAGTGTCAAAAATATTATTTCCTGTGTGCCATCTTCCAGCTACTGCAGGATGTGCTCCAACAAAACAAAGAAGGAGAACATGAAAGAGGGCAACAAGGGAGAGAGAAAACAGGGGCTCCACTAAGAAAACAAGAGGGACAGGTGCACAGGACAGTGAGAAGAGATGACAAGAGGGCAGATGTGCACTAGGCAAGAAGCCATCGTCTAAATGAGAGCAGGGAAACCAGACAAGCCAACTGTCCAGGGCACAGACACATCGAGGGCTGTCGTCAGTGAAATGCTTTTGACACCGTAAAAACCTGGCCTAGAATCTTCTCTGTACTCAGAGGCCAGGCTGAGATGGAGTTCCCCCTCCTCTCTCTCTGCAGCACAACTGATATAGGCTGGACACATTTCAGCCCTCAGAGGTCTCCTACCTTGACCCACTCTTAGAAATGGGAAGGAGGTCACCGTGAGCTAGGAAACAGAAAGGCAGATCAGCTGCTTACCCCACCCAGCACCCAGCCAGGCACCCCAGCTGGCGTCTCCTTTCCCCAGGACCCCTTATGCCCTGCTTACTCTCGAAAAGGGTCTCTTGAAAATTGCTGGGCAACTGAGGTCCAAGACCTTTCCCTTTGTCTCCTCCCAGGCCCCTCCCTCTAGGAACAGCAGCCCAAAGGCACCTTGGGCAGAGAGGACACCGAAGGTCAGCTTCTGTCTCCATCACCATGCACATCCACTCTGGAAGTTAATGACAGCACAAAAATAGGGTAAAATGTTTGAGGAAAACAGGGTATGAGGGGGCTTCTTTCCCATCACCAGCTTTTAACGTTAGGCCCACAGATAAGCAATACCACAGGCTGCTGCGGAGATTATGTTACATCTGGTACCAGGTTGCCCAAGTGGTCTAATTTTATTTTATTTCATTTTATTTTATTTATTTTTGTGGTTCTGGGGATTAAACGTGGGACCTTCTCACTGAGCTGCCTTCTCAAGTCTTTTTGTTTTTGTTTTTACTTTGAGACAGGGTCTCATTAAATCACTAAGTTCCCCGGGCTGGGCTCCACTTTGTATCTGCCTGCCTCAGGCTCCCCGAGTGCTGGGATTACAGGTGTGTACCACTTCACTAGGCTCCACAGAGTGAATTATGTTCGCCTAATGCAGCCTAGACCTCCTTGTCTCTCTTTCTCTCCCTCTGTCTCTCTCTCTCACACACACACACACACACACACACACACAGGTTTGTATTCCTGCCCCCAGTGCAGGCCTGCAGCATGGTGGACACCAGTCCTGACGGCTCCCACCCAGGCAGGGCCCACCTGACCTGGTGTAATGGATCACCCGAAGACCCCGCTAGTGCTCCTGTGCAGAAGCTTCTACCCCACAGGGCTCTTGGGCTCCACGGAACACACAGTGGCACCCCTTGGAGGCCGGGGCACCAACCAGCTCCCCTTAGCAATGATGTCACAGGCCCAGCTGCCAGACAGGAGCCCCGGTGACCTGGCAGCTGAGGGGGCAAGAGGTGCTCCTCTCCCCACACCAGCCTGCTTAGCCTCGGGCGGCAGATTTGCACCTCAGCGACCACCCCTAAGTCCCCTGGCCCTGGATGCCTGTGCCTTCTCCCAGCAGAGGAGCACAGTTTGGCCCAGAGGCCACCACCTGGCTTTCAGGGCTGGCTTCCTTCCTTCCTGCTGTGTCTGCTGTCTTCCTGCTCCCTCTTCTGGGTCTCCTCCCATGTTCTGGCTCCTCCCAGCCTGTCTTTTGCTCCTCCTACCCTTTCAGGACATCCCAAGTCCCCAGGCCACCTTCCCCTCCCTGTCCCCCAACAGAGATGCTGGAGGTGGGGGGACCAGGAGCAGCCCAGCCAGCGAGCAGCCCAGCCTGTGCTCTCTCGTTGGTGCCCACGGGCAGGTGGCCTGGCCACTGGCTCCTCTCTAGAACCTTCCTGTAACCCCCGCTGTGGCCCCCTGTAGCTCCTCTCCCCTGAGCCTGCTGTTCAGGTTCCTCCATCTATCTCTCCCTGCTTCTCCAGACTCGGGCACCAGGCCTCGCTCTGCCTCCTCCTCCTCCCTCCTCCTCCTCCTCCTCCTCCTCCTCCTCCTTTTCCTTGGTGATGTCATCTGCTACTGTGCTTTCACTGTCAAAGAAGTCATCATGGCTGGGAGCAAATTCACAGTCGCTTCGTGTGGCCTCTGACATCACAGACCAGGAGACGACTAAGGCCCAGGGCATGGAGGCCTTCTAGACACACTTCAGGCATGGCACCCACCCTTGGCCACTGCCATGTAGGGACCAGGCAGTGTATCTGCAAGGTCACATGGGTCCTCTTGTCTTGATAGCTTATTTTATTTAAGAGAGTAGGAGCCAGGCATGGTGATGCATATCTGTAATCCCAGCTCTCTGGGAGGCTGAGGCAGGAGGATAACAAGTTTGAGCCCAGCTTGGACAACTTGGTGAGTTAGTGAGACACTACCTTAAAATAAAAAACAGAAAAAGGGCTGGGGATATAGCTCAGTGTGAAGGCCCTAGGTTCAATTCCAAGTACTGAAAGAACAAAGTATGTGGTTCCATATTAGTCCCAGTTGTTCTCCATTCTGCAAGGGGATGGATGAGTGAGGTTTTCGGAGGCATCGTCCAACTCTGACAGCTGAGACTCCAGCCGGAGCCCAGAGCCTCCCAGGACAGGTTCAGCAGCCTCCTCAGGGGTCAGCACATTCCTCTCCAGCCTCTCAGATCCACCTATTCTGAGCCGCACCTGCACCACGTCTTCGAGCTCAGCCTATGCTGGCACAATAGTACCCAGCCAGAGCACAAATTAAAAAACAGGAAAACTCGACCCAAACCATGGGTCTGCAGTGGCAGCAGGGTGGTGTCAGATTGCTAGGCAACCCCGGCAATCCTGGGAAAGAAGGCCGGAGCAGAGCCAGCTCCTGGCCCTTTTGTGCGAATGTGCTGAGCAGAAGTCAGGACAGGAAGGCGATGCTGGCTGCGTCCGCTGGCGGAGCGCACATCCTTTGGACAAATGGATTTTCTGGAGGATGGAGAAGAGCGGGAGCCCACGTGATAAGAAACATCTGGAAACACACTGGAAAATCAGTCTGATTCCTCTTTTTCCCAAGGTCCAGGTGTTCAGAATTGTGCATGCAAAACGTCTGAATTTTAATGAGCATGCCCCCCCATTCCTGCATCACCTTCAGCAAGAAGCAAATGTAAACTAGGTTCAGAAGCCTGGAGAGGAGGAGGAGGAGGAGGAGGAGGAGGAGCAGAAGGAGAAATGAAAGAGACCCTGGGGGAGGATGCAGGGAAATGGAGCCGGAAGATAATGAGGGCCCACGTCTGGCTCTGTGCTCCCAGGAGTGAGACCAGGCAAGAAATGCACATGCGTCGTCCTTACAGCTCCAGCCAAGCCCTAATCTTGTTAAAACGTTCGTGGATGTTAAAATATTGATGATGAACATCAAACACTTCTAAAAGAAAAAGGTGGGGGGACATGGCATCATGAAAAAATAGCAAGAATTTTCCATTTGATTTTAAGTTCTGCCGAGCTGTGAGGGTAAAACCTACAGAGCTTGCACTACAATGAGGTGCAGACTGCCTGGGGCAGGGGCGGAAGGACTGATCAGGGTCCTGTGCCTGACACAACTACAACAAAGGGTACCAGATTGGTAGCTTAATCTCAGCACTCTGGGAGCCTGAAGCAGGAGGATCCCAAGTTCTAGCCCAGCCTGGGCAACTTAGCGAGTTAGCATTACACCACCTCAAAATTTTAAAAAGGGCTGGGGATGTAGCTCAGTGCAAAGCCTCTGAGTTCAATCCCCAGTACCACAAAGCAAATAAGCAAAACCCAGAAAGGTATTCCCTAGCATTTCTGGAGGCCAGAAGTCCAACCGAAGGTGTCAGCAGGGCCAGGCTCCCCACAAAGGTGGTGGGGAGAATCCATCCCCTGCCTCCCCTCTAAGCTTCTGGGCTTAGCGCCCATCTTGGCCTCCATCCTCATGTGACCTCTGTCTGTGCCTCCTCTTCCCCACAGAAGGACATCAGACACTGGAATTGGGGCCCACCCCACCCCACGATGACTTCATCTTAGCTACTCAGGCTGCCCAAACCTTATTTCCAAATAAGGCCATATTCTGAGGTTCCAGTGGGCATGAACTGGGGTGCACACCTTCACATCACTACAAGCATTCTGTTACCAGACAGAGACAAAGTTCAGGGTGGGAAGGCCTAGGACCACAGAATCTCACTCATCATCCCCCACGGACAGGGCGTTGCCCAAGTCCGCTCCAGTGCCAGCCCGCCCGCTCCAGGCCTGCAGAGTGGGAAAGCGTCCTCCCCTCAGTGACTGAGTCGGCTTCCAGCTTCCGGAGAAATGCGGGAATAAGGAGAACAGTGACAATGGTTCCTTCTTGCGCCATCAGGCCACACCAAACTCGGGCACTCGCACGCACACCGCACAACCACGCTCCCACATGTGTGCAGCATACACAGTCCTGCAGGGGTCTCTCAGGAACCACCCTGC